CTAAATTTTGAACCTTTTTAAAACTGGTTGGTCAGAAAACAGACTGAACAAAAATGGCCTGTTTGGATAAGTTGGAGGGAAAAAAGAATATGGCAGGGTGGCTCACCCTGCCCTATATAATAAGGAAATCTCAGTGAGCTAACTGAGTTCTGGAACAACAGAAAGATTAAAAAAGCTCTGACAATTTAGCGCAGCATCCTTTTCAGAGAAAATCAAACATAGCAAAAAGTCTCCCTATCCATAATGTTGGTGGAGTCATAGCTTTGGCTTGTTTTTCAGCCACATCAAGCCTGGATCCGGCAGCCACTGAGTCAACCAAAATATAGCTTTATCATGTCAAACTTAAAGCTTTGCCTAAACAGGCTCATAAATGATCCAAAACGTAGCCGCAAATCCACAACAGAAATGCTGACAAAGAGACGGAATAAGGTGCATAACCACCCACTCCAAGTCCAAGTCCTTCAAATGTTGCTGTGATTCGACTGAGCAAAACCTGTTCATTTTAAAAACAAACTAACAGATAATCTGCAAGCAAGTGTTGTTTTTTCATTTAGCATAAACAACCTGCTGGGGTCATTTTTATAATGAGGATGTACTTAAAGGTTTTAGACAGCCTCATGGTACAGAGAGCATTTATTTAATGGCATTAGGGGTGCACCGATTGCACTTTTCTGGACGATCACCGATTACCAATCTTTATAAAGCCTAACATGCTGATTCTGATTTTTAATAAAAATCTTTAATCTGGACTCATTTTGGGAGTTAATGCATCCTATACCTGTTACAGATATTACACCGGGGCCGTTCAGAGAACACCTGGTGCTCAGGCGCCGGAGGCATAGGGCTAATTGCTTATGAATCAGGAGTGGAAGCAAATCATCAAACCAACAACATCGTCTCATTACCAAAAAGTTACAGAATTACGCATAGGCTGCCATGACATATACTTATAAATCCTCTCCCACCGTTGTGGTATTGAAGGATCAGTTTAAACACACACCAATCATCTCGTTATGACGAGAAAATTACTTTCTAATGAGAAAATTATCATCTCGTCGTCACGAGAAAATGACTTTCGTTAGCTTTAGATATTGAGAAAATGGACTCATTTTCTCGATAAAACAACTGTGAAAAGGTATCAGAGGGACATGACCGCTCTCGGCTTCGGTATATATTTCACTACAGTTGTTGTTGCAATAACTCTAAAAGAGTCAATGTACTATGACACTGCATATCTAACACTGGAATTTACTCCTCTCTTCTAAGACATGCAGCAGCCAGTGTTTGATCACAACCAACAGTTTACAGTTTAATGAAAAAGGCAAAAAAAATGCTTTCTAAAATGAGAATTGCGTGCAACACAATATTTATTTAACTTCTCATTCTGGATTGGAAGGATTTAGGGTATATAGCATGAAGTCACACAACACGTCATATAACAGAAACCAGTCAAACCATTTAGATCAAACACCACAGTGTAAAAAGCTCCTTTGTGAAAACTAATCACATCTCCTAATTTGTTGGTAGATGCGAAAAACCCAAGGTGATGCACTCGAGGAAGGTGGCACACAAACCCCATTCCAGGGATCTGAGGCTGCTTAACGGCTGATGAGAAACACGTGCTGTCACACCACTCATGGCCCAGAGTGGAACAGAGAGAGCTGGATGAGTTTCAGATGTGAATTTATCCACTGGGAGCTTGGGGGGGGTAGAGGTCCTCTCCAGTTCCAAACAAGAACAATACAGGATGTGATGAGACAAAACTTTTGAGCAAAATAAAAAACATCCTCCCTAACTCTTCAAATTCCACAACAACAATAGATAAATCAGCTGCCAAGATAATTTTTTTCTTCTCTCTCTTCATATTAAACAAGAATTACAAATAAATGAAAGAAAGATTTACAGCTAATGAGATCATCCAAGAAGAAATACGGAACTGCAACTTGAAGCTACTAAATAGAAACATCTCATTATAACTGTCTAACAGTGTGTACCAATGGACTATAAGGGGACTCAAATGAGTTTTGCAGCATATGACCTAAATTTGATCCAGAAGGAAGAAACCATCCTGAGGAGAGCAACGCAGACTGAGAGAGCAAACTGACAAATGTTGAGCTGTTTTAAGATCACAGCACCCGATAAAGCATCTCCAACCAAATTGTTTTGTCCAAATTGTTTTTAAAACGTCACACATGCTACATAGCAAAGCGTGACATGCCAGCTTTCCCTCGTGCATCCAATCAATGGGGGGAAAATGAGAAACTGAGAATGTGAAAGGGTCACAACCCCTGGGATGGAAATGATCCCCCAGTTGCTACTGGGTATCCTGTGTATAAACACAGCAGTGGAAAAACATTAGTCTAAGTCTGTAGGTTTATGCTGTAGCACTGTTAGGTCTCAGGGACAGAGAGGACACAAACACTTTAAATAGGATCAGCTCATTCATCTTTAATGGCAAGCACTGCAGGATTAAATCATGTTAATATGAACTACAACTGGACTTAATCTGTCGCCACAACAATTTAGATGTAAGTTTTTAGTAATATTATTTGCGATGCGCTTGTAATGTAATCAGTAAAACTGAAGTAAGAGGAAAATGATACAAAGTTTTCTAAATTTTCCCCCAAAAACAATAAGTAAAGTCTGTTTTTTTTTTTATTCTTTCATGCTTATGGCAAAAATTACCTTCAGATGGAACCTCATAAGTACTGTAAATGCAGTCCACTGGAGTGCATTATTTAAAGAAGAAACTAAGAGTATAATTATAATTCCAGAGGAGTTGAATTCGACAGCTCAGGTAGGGAAAGCTGCAAAGCTGGCTAGAGAAGTTCTAGTTAGTGCTCAGTGCTGCCTCATGACAGCCATGACAACTAACCTAAGTCTCTCCCCACTTCTCCATGCACTGTCTCACAGGCCCAGGAAGCTCTCTAGTCTTAAAAGTCTGCAGACAGTCAGAGCAAAGACAGGAGACAGAAGACCTGCTCTCTTTTTTTTCCACAGCTAACATACATGCATGCGCAAAACTGCCAATGACTCCGCCTTTACTTACACTGCGAGATATAAATATAATGTAACTAGTTTTTAAATCAAGTTTCTTCTTTTTCTCTGTTTATGTATATCTGTAGTGTGAATTCAGGCAGTGTATAAAATTAATTCAATACAAAGTGAATCCAGTAGAACTTTTTATTGCCTACCCGGAATGGTTGACAATAGTTGAATAAACTTTTGGCTCTCAAAATGGTATCGATTCCCTATTTATTGGTACTCGCCGATACTGATACCACTATTTTAGTGCTGGATCGGGGCCCCGTCCAATACTGGTATCGGTGTCAGTGCGACACTACTGCAGACCACCTAAGCTTGGGGAATCCAGCACCATACTGAGGGGATTTAGCAGGCAGTTGATTGGAAGATGGATAATGCCAACAACACTTAACTGATGGGAGTAAACTTGCAAGAATTTACAAAAGACTTAAGAGTAGAGTAGATAATGACCCTGAACATGCTATATTAATATTTTAGATCAAAGCATATTTATGTCCTATAAATATTCAAATATCAAACCAAAGTCCTTACAGATAACTCTTGTAAAAACGTAATATTTACTATTCACAGACACCCAACATGACTGAGCTTAAGCTATAGTGCAAACAACAATAATCCCAAGAACCCCAAAAGACTTGCAGATTTCATTACAGGCGATTATCCAAAGTTAATACTAAGGGAGAGAGGGTGAAATATAAGTGCATTTCAAGCTTTTAAAATAAAAAAAGCTGCCTTAGAATTATGTGATACTTTGTAATACACAATACATCACATAAAATCTGAGTAAAAAACATTAAGGCTTCAGTTTGTAAATTGAGAAAATGTGGAAAGATTCTAGAGGTGTTAAAAGTTTTGTAAGGCAACGTTGGCACTAAATATCGCGCTGCAGCAATGTTAAAGTCATCTGTTTTAGGGATGATACTGTTCATGCTTAGAATGAAATCATTCCAAAGTTTAAAGTTTGGGGAAGGAGAAGTGAAGCTCTTTATTTTCTATTTAGTTTAGCACAGTTTGCAGGACAGCAGATTGCTATTTCACTGAGAGCAAAGTGAGAGAACATCTGATATTTGAATTTAACCTGTCCAAACCCTTCAATTAACTCTGCCAACCAAATCATGAATTATTATTTCAGTTTTTCATTTATTCTTAAAATGAACACATACACAAGAGAAAAAAAATAACACTTTTGTTATGTTTTAACTGAAATGTCTCATACCACAATGTTTGTGGTATGACATAGGATTTCTAAAATGATAAAACCTTAAGGGTTTTATTAGACTGGCAGATAATAATCAGCCAACTAAATCAGGCCTGGAAGTTACAACATGCCATAAAGAAAATCTCAAATGCATCACAGAGTTAAACATTTTAAACCCTATTTACTAGCTCTAGCATCTTTCTAGCTTTAGCATCTTTCCTAGTAGTCTAAGAGGTAACTCGATTATGATGGTCACTTATTTCCATAAATGCATCCCCAGACCACCCCTGTGCCACAATAACCTCAGGCAGCTGAAAGGCTCAGACTAAGTCTGGCTCTAATTTTGCATACCTGCACAGCAAGACCATATAAATGACCCTTTCTAATTTTTTAGATTTTTTGAATACCTTATATGATATTACTATTTATAACTCAGAAGAAATTAGCCCTCAGAAGAATGCCCGTAAAGAAAAGGAGACAGGAGTTTGTAAAGCAGACATGTAGGATGTTTTATCCAGCATACTGCTTTATATTAAGGGTTATAATACAAAAGTAAAATGCATCATACTGCTATCCATTAAACTTGCATTCTGTTATATGAGAAATGTAGAATTTGATCTTGTTAAGCATATTGCAAAGAAGTATATCAACAAATGCCAGTTATTGAGTTCATGTCCTTCTCCTGCCAAACAGCTCAACAGTGCAAAATTTGAGCTACTTTAGGTGCTCTAAGAGAATAAAACAGCATTTTTCTTACCTCAGCTCGCTGTGTTCTGGGTTGGCTGGCATCTGTCTCGATGGCGTACACGTCCACCAGATACAGATCAGACCCTTGTTCTCTGTCCAGCTCCGCAGCTGTCTGTATCACTCCAGTGTGGCGTCCGATAGTGAAAAGGCGTCCCACAGCTTTTCCGCCACTGCGTACTGCAACAATGAAATACTCCACTCTTGATGAAGAGCCCCTTGGACTTGAGGCATCCAGGGAGATGACATTAGTGCCTGGTGGTTGACCTTCTTTAAGGATGGTTATGTATTTGGGCTGAGAGAAAACGGGTCCGTCCATCCCTTGAAGGATGATGGTTAGCTCAGTTCTGGAAGTCTTAGGGTCAGAACCATGGTCTGTTGCTGACACTGTCAGAGTGTACATGAGTCGAGACGGTACAAGCTGGGAAGCCAGGCGAATATCCCCACTGTACCTGTCCATAACAAAGGTGTCTGCATCTCCTTCCAAAAGCTCATACTCCACTTCCCCGTTTTCACCATCATCAGGGTCAAGGGCCATCACCGTTGTTAGGATGGACCCGATAACAATGTTTGGCTCGGCAACAAGAGCATTCTGGGACACAAAAGTTGGAACGTTGTCGTTTAGGTCTGTGACCCATATTGTAACATTTTTCAAGGCGAATCGCCGGAATTCAGCTGGAACAGCCTGATCAGTAGCTTTGATGGTTAGCTCAAACAGATTGGAGAACTCCCTGTCAATTTCCTTGTTAGTGTAAATGAGACCAGAGGTTGCATCTATGCTAAAGTGGTTCCCTCGAGGAATCTGCTGGACAATCGAGTATTCCAGCTGCCCATTAATGTCTGCATCTGTGTCATGAGCTGTAATGGTCATAACAGAGGCTGAGAGAGGAAGATTTTCAGGGATGGATTTAAAAATGTCTCCGGGTGCAAACACTGGAGGATTGTCATTAAAATCACGGACATGAATGATCACAGGTATGGATGAGGATCTGGATGGTCTGCCGTTGTCCTTTGCAGAGATATTAAGTTTATAAACTGATTGTGTTTCAAAGTCCAACTTTTTAACCAGAAAAATGCTGCCGGTGTTTGGGCTGATGCTGAAAGTGCCATGATTGTTTGTGGCTGTGATGCTGTATGTTATATCTGCATTTTGAGCTGAATCTGCATCCGTAGCTGTTACAGAAGCCACCAGTTCCCCAATCCTCATGTTCTCCAACACATCCACAAAAAGAGAGGTTTTAGGAAAGGAAGGGGAGTTATCATTTTCATCCAGGACACTAATGCTCAGCAGACAAGAGGAGGACAATGGAATTGTTCCAGCATCAGCAGCTATGATTTTCAGAGAGTAAGAAGAAGTGGTTTCATAGTCAAGCTTTCCGACTAAAGTCAACTGTCCAGAGTTGTCATCTATCATGAACTGGCCTTCCTCGTTGCCCTCAGAGATGTAATAATGAACAAGTCCATTTTTGTTTATATCCACATCTGAAGCAGAGACACGCAGCAGCTGAGTCATGTTTTGAGCCGACTCAGAGATGGAGGCCTGGTAAATGTCTTTGGTGAATTTTGGTGGATTGTCATTGATGTCTTGAATGTAAACCTGAACTTTAGCCTGGTCTTTTAGGGGTTTAGGGAGACCCTGATCTGATGAGACAACTACAAAGCTGAACACTGCGGCCCCCCTTTGTCTCATTAGTGATTCACGGTCCAGCTGCAGAGTGCTGGTCAGCTCTCCGGTAATGGCATTCAGCTCAAAGTTGGGCTGTGGGGTCTCAAATATGTATCTAATCTCACTGTTGGGACCAAAGTCCTTATCCTCAGCAAAAACCTGCCCAACAACTGATCCTCTCTTCTGCTCCTCCTCAAAATGAAACACATAATTAGTGCTGTTAAACAGAGGACGATTGTCGTTCACATCGTCCAGGATCACAGTGACGTTCACTGAGGAGCTTAGCGGTTCTACAGCCCTGTCTTTGGCAACAACCACCAAGTTATATCTGTCTTGAATTTCTCTGTCCAGCTCAGTTTTAATGTATAGCTGCCCATCTGGAAAAATACCAAACACATCACCAATGTTACCGGTGATGATGTCATACATAATCTCCCCATTTAGACCAGAGTCTTTATCGGTGGCCTCCACTTTAAAGAACCTACTGTTGACAGGTTCAGACTCAAAAATGACAGCCTCATATGAGAGCTGATCAAAGACGGGCAAGTTGTCGTTCACATCGTAAACACTGATGATCAGGATTAGGCTGGAGGTGAGGCGAGGAACCCCCATGTCTGCAGCCAGGACTTCGATTTCATAGGAGCTTGTTGTTACTTCCAGGGGGCCGGTCAGTGTGATCAGACCATGCCGCTCATGGATGTGAAACAGGCCTTTTGGGTTCTCTTTAAGGCTGTAAATCACCATGCCATTCGGACCTTCGTCAGGATCTGAGGCCTTCGCCTGGAATATAACATGTCCTGTCCTCCAGTTTTCCACAGCGCTGACATGCTCCATATTGTGAATAAAATGAGGAGCATTATCATTTAAGTCCTTCACAGTTATATTCACAAAGGCCTCTCCTGTGATCTCCCCAGCTCTGGCTACAACCTTAAGCTGATAAAATCCTTGCTCCTCTCTGTCTATCTGACTCGCTGCTGTGATCTGACCTGCGGTGTTTACAGCAAAAACCCCCCTCTGATCCCCTGAGGTGATCAGGTAGGAAATGTTTGTGTTCAAATCCAGCGTGGTTGCCGACACAGTGCCTATGACTGACCCAAGAGCCACATTTTCAAACATCACAAAGCTGTACACCCTCTGGTTGAAGACAGGTGGATTATCCTGTGTGTCTATTACAGTTACAGTCACAATGGCCTGGGTTTTTGAGCGCAGGTTTCCGCCATCAGCTGCTGTCACCTGCAGCTGGTAGGCAGTCTTCTCTTCTCTATCCAGGGGTACTAGGGTTGTGATTTTCCCTGTATTGCTGTTAATACGAAATTTGGAAGTGTCTCCCTCTGTAATTATATATTTAACAGTTCCGTTTCGTCCTAAATCAGGATCTGTGGCAGAAACGGTTGTCACATAGGAACCTGAAGGCTCATTTTCTTTCACATTTGCAAAATACTGTACAGGGTAAAACACTGGCCTGTTGTCATTTATATCCAAAATTGTGATGTTTACATTTCCCACAGAGTGCAAAGGGGGGCTGCCTCCGTCTGCTGCACGGATGCAGAGCAAATATGAGGCCTGATCCTCCCTGTCCACCTCCATGGCTGTGCTTAATCGGCCCGACACAGCATCCAGACGAAACACTTCCTGGATGTTAGCAGGTGTCTCTGCATCAAATGAGAATCGGATAGTTGCATTTGCCCCAAGGTCATCATCTGATGCTGACAGAAGCACCAGCTCAGAACCAGCGGGAGCATGCTCCACCAGGGAAACATGATATGTGCTCTGGGTAAATGTAGGCACTTGGTCATTCACGTCTGTGATGTTGACTATCAGTTTAGTGTAGGAAATCTTAGGCTGCAGCCCCTGGTCTTTGGCACTAATGTTGAGGACAACTTCAGATGCAATTTCCCTATCCAGCAGAGCAGCGCTGGTAACCAGGCCACTGTTTTCACTAATGGAAAACCAGCCCAAAGCGTTTCCAGAAACCAGGGAGTATCTCAGGTTGGCATTCTGCCCAGAATCACCATCTGTTGCAGAAACCCCTTTAATGTAGCTGCCTTTGGGGGTGTCTTCACTGATGTCTACTCTGTACAGTGTTTCCTGAAATATTGGAGGGTGATCATTGATATCATTTACAAAAATAACCAGACTGGCAAAGGAGGATCTGGCCATAGGTTTGCCATTGTCTGAAACCGAAACAGTCAGATTGTATGAGGAAATCCTTTCTCTGTCTAACACACTTGCCACTTTAATCAGACTTAAATTAGGCACAGGAGAGGTGTGCACTTCAAAGTGTCTCTGCTCGTTGCCACCTAAGATTGAAACAGATATGTTGCCATTAGCTGTGGATGAGTCTGAGTCTGAAACTGTGAGCAGGGCTACAACTGTCCCAATCTGAGCATTTTCATCAACAGAAGCAAATTTAGAAGTGGTGGGAAAATACCTGAACTTCACAACGGGGTCGTTATCGTTAACATCTAAAAGTTTAATGGTGGCTTCTGTCCGACCTGACAGAGCAGGAACGCCATTATCTACAGCATGAATGGTCAAAGAGTACTCTTTCTTACTCTCATAGTCCAAACCTTCTTTAATAATAATTGTTCCTAATTTAGGATCAATTTGGAAGGGTGTCCCCTCATCTAAAAAGTACCTGATTTCAGCATTGGCTCCCTCATCCTGATCTGATGCTGTGATCTGCAGGATGCTGGAGCCTACAGCAGCATCCTCAAACACGCTGGTCTGGTACTGATCTTGCTCAAAAACAGGGGGGTTGTCATTAACATCCTGAATGGTGACGTTTACTTGCAGGTAACCAAACTTTTTCGGCTCTCCTTTGTCCTCCACTTGGATCAGGAGCTGGTAGAAGGGAGTCGCTTCTCTGTCCAGACCTCTGGTTGAAACGAGGTGCAGGAATGCTCCCTCCCCGCTGGGATTGACTGTAATGCCCAGCTCGAACCTGCTCTGCTCGTTGCCCTTCACTATCCTGTAAGTGTTGTGATCAACTCCGTTGCTTCCAATGTCAGAATCCGTGGCAGTGTCCAGGATCACTTGTCTCCCACTGCTGGCGTCCTCCTTAAAGGACACGACTATAGACGCGTCTGGAAACACCGGAGAGTTGTCATTAATATCCAAAACCACGATTCGGACCTCTGTGGGGTAGGTGGGCTGGCTGGACAGCACCACCACGTTGATAACATCACTTTGCAGAACTTCTCTGTCAATCACCGATGATGTTGTTATGACTCCCGTGGTGCCGTTGATGGCGAAAAGTTTGTGGTTCTCACTGAAGCGGTAGGTGAAGCTGGGTTTGGTTTCTATGGTGCCCACATAGGTTCCCACGGGCTGCTCCTCCGGGACGCGGAACTCCTGACGGACTTGGCTGGATGCGCGGCTGCGCTGCAGAGTCCACAGCATCAGCAGAATCAAATGAAACCGGCCAAAGCCTCTAACTGTGAGCGCCATGGTCAGTCAACCTGTCCACCTTTCTCAGACAGAGTCCATGCCGATGATGCATCAACTTTCCTAAAGTTGGAGCCTCCGCAGCATTGTATTCCACTAAAGGGTTTCAATGAGAAAAGCAGCAGCAGCTCTTCCCCTCTATCCGCACTGAGGTGTCCCAAAAGTGCTCCACAAGTGTTATTTCATCCAGCTGCAACAAAATCCTCTGGATGGGGAAAATGATCCCTGCAGATCAGGAAAGTTTTATTTCAGCTTTTCAGTTTGCCTTTTTTTTCCTTTCTTCTTGGCAATGTGACACAAAGCCAAAATAAAAGTTCCCAGATCCTTGGAGATGCGCAATGAGTTTATCCAAAGTTAGAACGCACTGAGCGTACGCGCACAGATCCAGGGAATAACGGTACTTCAGTCATATTGCGCTCAGGAGTCCCAATAAGTTAGAACAAAGCTGGAGTTGAGTAAACTCCCTCCCATCACTGATCCCATTGGATGGCTGCTCTCCTGTCCGTCCTCCATTCGCCAGCCCTCCTTACAGCTGGTGGTGGAGAGGTGTCAATCAAATAATCAGGTAGAAATACCCCACAGAGAAATAATTTTATATATACATAGATATATATACAAATATATAATATATGTATATATTAAAAAAGTCAGACTTCATATACATAATTAACAAAAATATAAAACATATATATCAAATGGGTGTTTTGCAATAAAAAATATATGAGGTTAACTTTAAAATTAATGTTTAAGTTGATAATAATAATAATAATACATAATTACATAAATAAGTGCATATTGCTGCCATTACATTTATCACAGCATTCAGAGATTTTAAAATGAGTGATATGTTATTTATCTGTCTCATCTTTAGCTACCTTACTTTTTTTATTAAATGTTTTAAAATCTTTAAAAAAAATACACTAAAATGCAAACTTCAATCATGGCCTAAAGTATGGTATATTTAAGTCCTGAAGTCACTTGAGTTTTTCTATTAAATGTGCTACACAGTGGGCCTACAAGGATGAGTATGCACCACCATCTAGTGTTCATACTGTGGTACTACTAAACATAATTTTGTCTTTTTAGCTTTAAAAAATATATAGAAAAATCTTCAATATTCAATAGATTGGATAATGATTCCTCAAAACACATTCACATTGAGCAAAAAAGAAAACGAAAAAGGGAAAAAGAAAGTAGTTATTCAAGACAAACAGATTGTTTGGTTGATTAATTGTGTTGAACAAAAAGTGACCAAACAAACAAAAATATAACATGTGATCAAGTGAGATTGTACAGTATTTACAGTATAACAGCTTAATGCTATGTTTTAAATAGGGTAGAAATAAGTGTTGTTTTCATACAGTATAAACTATGTAATTAAGGCAAATTTGCACTATAAGAAAACAAAACAATATAGTTTTAAAGTTTAGCATTTACAGATTCAGATATGTGCAACTGAATAGGTTAATTAAAAACTTTGCATGTAACTTTTTGCACTAAAAACAACAACAAGAACCTGAACAACAAGCTAACTTTGCTGGTTGGGGATAAGACAGTGATACCCCAGGATCAAACAACGGCGACGCAGTTTGACACAGCCACCAGAACAACCCTTAGACTTAGGAAATCCCCTGATAATAAAAACTGGTTGGAACCAATGCTTGAAGTAGTGAAGAGCTATGTGAAATCATTTTCTCTGAACTGCTGACCTTATTGTTTTGTTTTCTTTTATTGTTCATTGTTAAATATTTAATGTTGGTATTTTATGTATTTATGTATGATTTTTAGTTTTTGTTAAAAGCTATAATGCAATAATTACAAATAGCACAGGATTTTGTGTGAGCCTTAAAGCTGCTGGGATGAAGCATCTGTGATAACACTACTTTGTGTTCATAGGACTCAGCAGTATGGTCTCCAGTTCTGCAGCAGCTTGATTCATGGGGTAACATTTTTTAAAGCTCACTATCTAAGCCAGTGTTTTTCTGTCTCCCTTCACCTGCTCTATGTTTATCCTATATGCCCCTAGCCTTCCTGATGAACCTCTTTAACTGCTTCCACTCAGCTTTAGATAGGCTGCTACAGTACTTGAAGAAACTACAACTTAAAACAGGGTTTCTTAACCCTGGTCCTCAGGGTCCACTGTCCAACACGTTTTAGACCAGGAGTCATGAGTACTGAGTCATCAGAAGAGCTATCAATACTGACCTATGAGTGGAGGAGCCAGCATTCACCACCATTTCATGCAAAATAAACGGCTTTTTATTTTTCTTTAAATTTTGTTTTAGAAAATAAGACATTTTGAAATCTCTGTAAATCCAAGTGTGATTAAAAAAGGAAGGCCAAAAGAATAATACAATTTTAGCAACTGGTGTGTTGTGCTTTTTCTTTCAAAAGATGCTAAGGGCACCCAGTTTGGTCACTGCATTAGTGACCCATGTTTTAGGTGATTCCCTGCCTCAACACACCAATGAAAAGGTAGTTAACAGGCTTTTGCAGCATCAATATGAATACCAAGGAGGTAATTAAATCATGTATTCATGCTTGAGTAGTGACACATCTAAATCATAAAGGACATGGGACCCAAGAACCAATGTTAAGAAACCTTGCCTCAGAATAGGGCTGATGATTTTACTGATTAAACAGAAAATCTTCTTGGTTTCCACCTGTTGATTAGGAGAGTTTTCAAAGCAACAATTCAAGCCCTGTGTCGACTATCTGTACTCTGAGTCAACCCCACCTGGGATAAATACATTTTCTTTCCAGGGAACAGGACATAAGTGCTTGTTTTTCAAAATCAATCAGCCAAAACCAATCATTAATTTATCAATTAATATGTTAATCTGAATGGTAAAGTTTAACGTAACGTCAACCACAACTGCCCTGAGCAAATTAGATGGGTTAAAAAAGCATAAAAAATTCACAATTGTCATATATATATATATATTATTTATTTATTACTGTAAACCCTGTTGTTGATACTTGGTACACCATATTTTGCTAATAGGAAAGCAATTAATATTCTACTATACATTTTTACAAGATAAGAGTTCATAGCAGGATGTATGTTTGTCCACTACTCTTTTTGAAATCTTTTTAGATCATTCAGAGGCTTGCAGACTAAGAAGGTCATGGAAGATCACAGACAAATGAGGGGAATCAGATTTTTCTGTCTGGTGAACCATTTCGATGTTTGTCAATTTTGAAAGGGAGTTTCTTAGTGTTGTCAAGAGTTAAGGGGGGGAGGCAAAGGGTAGTACTGCAACCTTATACCACACAGCATGAAGAAGTAAAAACTGTTGTTTTCAGGGTTTTAAATGCCTCTTCATGTCATCCAAGAGGGACAGTAATTATTTTTTTTAAAAGTTGTTCTGTTGATCATAGATGAGGTGGTCCAAATCACAAGGTTCTGTCTTTCCCCATTTTTCCCGTGCAGAACTGTTACGAATTCATGTCAAGTATAAACCAGATTTTGGTCTTATTTTATCCCACAAAAACATTCCAGTTAAGGTCCGGGTAGAATTTTGTGAAATCATAGTAATAATCAAAAATTTTGTAAGAATTAGTTCTATTAAGTTTAATGTAGACTTTACTGCACTTCTAACACAGCAAAATAACCGTATCGAGGGCCAATACAAGAGTCACTGTGGTATGATCTTTATGCTGTATAAGACATCCAGATTTGTTGCACATCAATCCAAGCAGCTTGATAATTTCCAGAAACAGCTCTGTAATGTCTGCTTGCACAGAGAAGAGGTCGAGTTCAGGTCAGAAGAGCACACAGAGGAGTTTAAGCGGAGAAGGAGGAAACTGTTTAAATTTCAATGAAATTACGCCTGCTGCTGAACTTCTGCACTTCTGTGAAATAACATCACAGAGGGATAATTACAACCCGTCTTGGCTTTTAGGGACATAAATGTTTATTCAGGTTTGTTATTTGACAATTTGTGGCTCCTGTAATCACAGCACTTGTTGCCTGGATGTTAAGTAAAACTTGAGTCAAGTAGTGTATGTTAGTTTACAGTTTGGACAGGAGCAGCGGTAGCTGCTTTGACACAGATTCATTCTTTTAGAAATGCGACTTAAAATCTGTTGTTTATAGTTAAAAAGTGACAGAAGCTCCTTCCTGGGAGCCATTTTGAAGTTGCTCAGTTGTTTGACTCATACTCGCAAATCTTTCAGGAGACAAGTGAAGTTCAGAAAGGTTTATTAACAAATATGAGCGATAATGAAGCCAGATCTTATTTAGGCTAACTCGGACGTTGAACAGCTTTCACTGGAAAGAAAGGAGATTAATGAGGAAGCCTGCCTAAACCATCTCAAGTTGCGGATATTCCATCCCTTTCACTCCTCTTCCTTGTTTGCCTTCATGCAAACCTATTTGTCTCTCCTCTGTTCATGACAGGTCCCTTGGACTTACTGAACAATCCCCAGAGCCCTGGCTGAGCCCTCTCTTACATCATAACTTTCACCATTAAGCCTTCTCTATTTTGTTTGCAACATTGTCATTACTCACTCCCTTACTAAGTTACGGTCCTGGAGGTCCAGTGTCATCCACCTTTTAGATATGTCTCTGCTTCAACACACCTAAGTTAAACATTCAGGTCATTAGAAGGACTCTGGAGAACTTGGCTGTATACTGTGGGGGTAATTAAGCAATTTGATTCATGTGTGTAAGCAGAGACACCTTGAGGACTAAAGGTGAAGAAGCCTGGTTTAGAGGATGCTGATGATGATGTAGGGATGAGACATCTCAAGCCAGGCTTTGAGGCGTGTACTGAGTAAAAAGGGGGCGTGTCTTATGAAGACCCGCTTTGAGGCTTGTGCCGTCTTGCGTAAAAACCTCTGTCTGTCTGTCTGTCTCTCTGTCTGTCTGTCTTATGTGGGCAACTTAAATTGCTTAAATGTAATTGTTTAAATTGTCTAAATTAGCCAATGAGGAAACCTCTGTAAACACATTGTTTACAGAGGTTTTTGAATTTAAATAACTAACGCCCAAATACCATCCACTAGAAATTTGACATTTTGCTGTTTGATCAACAATGACACAGCCTCACACAGGATAAACAGACTGAATGCTGTCGGCAAAAGGAACATCTGTGGGCATCTAACTATAAAAGATCTCAAGCATGAGAGTTCTAGAGAATGTAGAATTCAAAGCATAGAGTACATCTTCTCAGGCAAAATACATCCATGACATAAATTTTAAAAAAGTAAACTGTCACAGATATTCAATGTAAGGATTATTATGGTATAATTCACATATAATTGCACATTTATAACAAAAACTTGTTATTATGAGAATATTGCACCACATTGCTCCGTTCTGATTTTTGAAATATGAAGTTTGTAATGAATAAAGTATCAAGTAATGAGCCTTAAGCAAAGCAATGAGTTGGAAGGCTTAATTGCTTTGTGA